CAGCAGCAGCGTGCACTTGTGCAAGATGGGGTGTACAGCTGTGCAGGTGTGTGAGTACAGCTGTTCACCGGGGTGCTGGGACAATTTTTATAGTGGGGGAGCTGAGAGGCATCGAACCAAACTGTAAACCCTGTATATGATGGCAACCACTTCAAGCCAGGGGGTACAGCAGCACCCCTAGTTCCAGCACCTATGTGCAGGGAGGGGGCTGCTTGTGCAGAGAGCCCATTGACGGGAGGAAGGGGGGGCGCACTGGGGGCCATGCGCCATGCTCCCCACCCCCACACACTGCTCACAGGAATGGCCCAGATAGCACAAACAGAGAGGGACGTGGACCCCCTCTTGGGCTTGCTCCCTGGCTAGAGACTGACCAGTACCAGGGCTGGGAGTGAGTCTCTGAGGACAGTGCTGGCACAGGCCTGGCTCCAAGGGCTGCCCTGACCTGGGGAATGGCCCCGGGTGCTATGATAGCATTCGTCCTGCCCTCCTCCCTGTAACCACTGACCCCAAGAGGGCCTGGCAGGGGCCAGGCTCTGGGCTCCTGGGGCAGACACGCTGGGGTTTATTGCATCCTGGTGCTCAGAGCCATATCAGGGACATCTCTCCACACACCAGGCAGGTTCTGGCACTGAACCCGCCTGTAAAGGTGCACGACTCAGCCCTGCGGCGCCTCCTGCTGATTGTCTCGGGAATTAGCTCTCCAGCCATTGGAGCACCCTCTGCAGGCCAGTGTCCCGCTACCGCTTGGCCCCTGTGTCTCTCCCAGACCCGGTGCCCTGTTGTCTGGGGTGCTGCCCTCTGGCAGTAACCCCTCAGTCTCAGGGTCTCCCCACCCAGGGGAACCCCCACCCACTATCCCCACTTTGCCTCAGTCTTGGCTACTGCCAGTCCTCATCTAACCCCCATTCAGTGGGGCAAACTACAATGTATAAGCCACTCATCACAGGCAAAGGGGTTTGGACCTGCTGTCTCTGGCTTCCCCCTGCAACCCCAGTACCTAATAAGCCATACCAGGCCTGTAGCCTGGGACTTTTCTAGGCCGGAGCTCCCGCAGCCTTTCCCCAGCCCTGCTCCACTCCAGATACCTAGTTAAGCTCCCTGCAGCCAGGCCCTTCTCTCACTGAATGCAGAGAGAGACTGTGCTGAGCGCCGGTCTCAAGTCTTTATAGGGCCAGCTGGGCCTGCTTCCTCCCAATCAGCCGTCCCAGCCACAGCCCTCTTGAGCCAGGGCTGTTTTAAACCCCTCAGGGCAGGAGCGGGTGACCAGCCCGCTACACCGCCCCCTCCTGGGGGGCTGCTACAGACCCCATGCCTGTGACCCAGCAGACACCTGCGGGGAGTGCTTGGCTCTCAGCTGCGCTGATGCACTCAGCCAGCTCACAGAGCTCCCCAGGGACCCTCCCCCAGGCCCATTCTGCTCTACGCAGGTTCTTACAGCCGTCCACTGCTCCAGGACACAATCACAGAGCCCCTTGGCCGTGCCAGCTTCTCCTGCCCATCACACAAGCAATGTTTAGTCTGTGTCCCTCCAGCTCCCAACTGGGTACTGCCAAGGAGGGAGGCCCCATGCACTGCACAGCTGAAGTCCCAGCGTTCCTCACCGACACAGCCTGCCCCAGCCAGCCAAAGTCTTCACTCACTGCAGGCAAACCTACACTCCCCCTCTGCTGCCCTGGGCGCGCTGGGGATGGCACAGCCACTATCTCCCTGCCATAGCCCAAGCAAGAGGAGTCAGATGGGGGATTTCACCAGGGCCTCGGAACCTGTCCTGAGAAACGGCCTCCCTCCCAATGTGGGCCTGTAAAGCATGCGTGTGAGTGTGCGCCCGTCAGCACACAGGCCCCACAGAGCCATTCGCCTGGCAGAGCTGGGAGTGGATGGGAACAGGGTGGAAAAGTCTCCTGGTGGTGCAGGACACGCAGCGACTTGTGTGTGTGCAGCGTGTTGGGTTTGTCAGGGGGCCAAGAGTCCTATAGAGCCTCGGAACAAAGGGGGAGGAGATTTTATAGCGATCTCCATAAAACGTGTTTACCCGCCTGTGCGCCAGCCGTGCTGAGGATTAGACTCCAGCGCAGAGGGCTGTAACTGCCAGGCTGGGCTAGGATTCCCAGCAGCAAAGGTCACCGCTTTGGTTTCCTGTTAGCGGCTGTAGCAGCATGACAGGAATAATTACAATTAAATAAATATGCTTCTGTGTGTGCACAGAAAAGGCACAAAGGTTGGATTCAAACTGCCCATCTCCCTGGAGACTAGTGCCGACCCAGTGTCTGTGAGGAACCTGCCCGCTCTGACCCTGGGATCTCTTCCGGAGCCGGCAAACCCCCGGTGGAGGAGTCACCCCCAGAAAGGCACCGGGAGCTGGGGCAATGGAGCCTGAGGGAGCTGCAGATTCAGAGCACCAAGGTGGCTGTGAGAGTGCCAGGGAGGAGAGCAGCACAAACCAGCCATGTTCAGTCTGAGGGTTCCCTTGGTCATTCCCTTCCTGTGGTAGCCCTGCCATCACCATAGTGTGGCCAGGAACAGGAGGCAGTGAGAGCACAAGTGGGACATCAGCTGGCAGGGGCAGAGGGAGCTTCCCAGAGACAGGAGTGGGTTCACTGGGGTCAGGACAGGATAGCAGGGAAGGCATCTGGGAATGAGGGCCCTGACCCAATTTCTTTAGCCACGGGCATAGGGCAGCACTCCCTCCCCACCCAGCCCTGAGCCAGGTCCCCCAGCACCAAACACACATGCTGAACGGGGGCCATACTGATGGTCTGCAGCCAAGGGGGCCAGAGAAGGAGTTCCTCTCCCTGCTGGGCATGGAGCAGGGTGATGGTACCAGGCACATGAGTCAGACCCTGCCCCTGTCCCTGCCACAGGATCCTCCTGGCCAGAGACACCTGCAGAGCAATTGTCTTTGGGTGTCAGCAAATGGCATCAAGTAGTCAGTAACATCAGAACATGTCCCTTGGGGACAACAACCCACACATAAGCCCCACCCCTTGCAGGGTTCATCCACCTCCCACTCCGGCCACCGGCAAACCTCACGTGGACAAAGAGTGCCAAGAAAAGGAGCACCCCATGCTGCACTTGGAACTGGGCTGCAGATTCCTGCATCCCCTCGCCCACGCTTTGCCCCGAGAGGGCATTGGCTTGCCAAGGGATCAGAGTTAGCACAGCTCATATCCCTGCCCTTGGTTAGCCAGGCATCCCCACTGCGCCAAGAAACAAAGGCAGCCCAGCGCGTCAGGGGAATTGTCCCCATGGCAATGGCTCAGCTACACACGGCCTCCGAGTGCGAGCGCTTTGGGGCAGAGACCGCTCTCCCTCTGTGTCTGCACAGCCCCTGCCTGAATGGGGCTGGGGCACCACCGCCCCAGGACATCATCGGCAGCGTGCAGGGAACCGTATGGCCCCGGGAAGACACAGGCAGCACTCAGGGCCTGCAGTCAAAGCCGAGTCAAAATCTCACCCGGCGCCATCTGTATCCCTTGGCACCTCTGAACTCCTGGCCCTTACCGGGCAGGGACAGGCCTGGCGCAGCGACCCAGGTGGGACGGGCAGAGCTGCCAAGGGCCCTGCCGCTGCCCCACTCAGTCCAGGCCAGTTATTTCATGAGCCAATTTGCATATTTACATATAATTTGCACATAACCATGGACATCAGCTCGTTCCGTGCCCCGAGCCACGGCGGGGCTGCCGGGGGGCCGCGGCGTCACCCCCGAGCTACAAGCCAGGACGCCTGGGCTGGGCCGAGCCAGCCCCCGGGGCAGCCCCCCGGAGCGGAGCCACTGGGAGCCCCCCGGTGGGGGGCGGGGCGCCCGGCAGACCCCGCCCCCGGCCACGCCCCCTGGGAGCCGGGTTCCATTCCCGGGGCCTGCGGTTCCCAGGATGCTTTGCGGCCGGCACGGGCCGGTGCCGCAAGGCATGCTGGGTCCTGTAGTCCAGCTGGGTGCGGGGAGGGTGATGCGGCTGCTGCGGCTGCCCCG